GAAGCCACTGGTGTCTCACATTGCAACCTAGTCGACCAAAATCGCGATCAAAGTCACTAGTGCGCGCGCCCCCAAGAGGGAGGCGTCTGCCACCGCAAAATCAACCGCGTGTTAAGGTCAACATGGTTCTGCTGCACTTGTCGGCCGGGACAGACACGTGGTGCCTCTGGCTGAGACAGCAGGCCAACTAGATGGCGGAAACCTTTTCGAGTGTATGCCAGCCAAGGCCGTTTAACGCCGAACAACTGGTCACTGTCAGCGAAAGTCAATACCGTTATTGCCCCCTCCCCCGTCGACTTTCCTGAAGTACTCACCCGTTGATAGAAATCGTAATGAATTAAGACCCCAGGGTTTGATGATTGATAGGTGTGTGGGCTGTCTTTCATTTTGACACACAGACAAATGTTATAATAAACATGGATATATCCGCCTTCTTTCATTTATCTTTCCATTCCCACAACAATATACATAAAGAAATGGCATATTTTGGACATAGTTTGAATGGTGATTAATCATGATTAATTCATTTTTAAGCTGTGATTAATCTGATTAAAAATTGTAATCGTTTCACAGCCCTAAATATAATGCAACAGTAATTGTGTGTCCCAAAAGCAATTTTTTACGCAATACGATTACATGCAAAGAGATCAGAGCTGCCACCAATTACGCTGTTATTCAATAAAAAAAAAAGTGATTGTAAATGCTGTGAGCACCTTTCATCCATTATAACCATTAAACGTAACACCATTGCAGTCCTTGTGCATATTCAAGTTATTTTGAGTCACACTGCAGTTAACCTGATAGCTGTGCAAAGTACCACAGAGTAGGTCACAAATTATTCTTCAGCCAAGTAACGCAATTTCATAGATAAATATCATACAAATAATAATATAAAATACAAGAATCAGTGTATGTCGGAGGAACAGCTAAAACGACTTAAAATTAAATATAATATGATATGAGTATTATGTAAGTGGAACTGATTTAACTGGTTACTGGTTTATAATCTCAATATAATAGTCTGAAGCTATAACATTATTTTTTGATATTTGAAAGGACATCATTTATTTAAGCTGTGACCCACCTTCACCAGCAGCTCTCGGCTGAGGGAGTAGTTGTTGTCGTCTGAGAAGATCTCGGACAGCTCGCGGAAGGTGCGGAAACTCTCCCTGTGAACAGACGCAGAGGTGAGGGCACAAAAAACCAGCCCCTCTGCCTTCAGCAATATTCAATCTGTGCATATACACAACAGTGTACTGATGGTAACCTACCGTGATACTTCCTCCCAGGTCCTCTTCAGGCGGTGGATGGCGTTGCACTGCAGGGCGGAGAGGATGGCTCGCAACGAGGAGAAGTTCTTCAATATCCGACACTCCTGAACACAACGTAAACAATCATCCAGTCAGAAACGGAGAAGACGAAATTGTGCTGCAACTGTTGATATAATACGGCTTAGTGGAATACTCAATTCTTATTGGTCAATTTGGACATTCAGCAGTCTGCTTAAAAAAAGGACGCTCTGATTAAGAAACTATGTGTAGTGATATCAATCCGAAGAAAGAAGTCTAATTTAAAGTCAACTAGGCAAAAAAAAAACTGAATAAGAGTTTGAGTATTCATTTTCCTATTTGTGAAAAGCATGAAACGTAGTGATGTTACGTATTGCGCCGAGGCTTCGGAGCGTGTGTCGAGTAATCCCCGAAGCTTTTTGTGAAGCTTGTATCGAGGCTTGTATCGTTTTGGGCCAGTGACGTCAACGATGACAAACGAAGCCTCGCTGCCTGTCGTTACCACGTGACTGCTTCGGGAAGCGATTCAGATCGGTTGAACCACAACGCTCATATTACCCATGGATGTATAATAAGAACGATATTACGCCTCCTGTACCCGGGCCCGGTGACACGATGGAATTAAGAGAGTTCAGACCCTCACTTATATAGAGGTCTGAACAAATCTGCCTGTTTTACACACTTTGACCAACAGGGGGGTTTGTGTTCAAATCGGTTCAAATGAAGCCTCATGAGATGAACCCTTTTGTGAACCAATTGGCTGGAAAGCTTCAACGCTTCCTAAGGCTTCATCTCGCCATCACTAATGAAACGCAAACAAAAAGAAAAACAAGAACAAGAAAAACATCGCAAGAGAGGGAAAAAGGTTAAAAGTCTGGGAAAGCTTGCAGAAGAAAAACAGACAGGAAGTAAACACTAACGGGAACAGCAGAAGAAGACAGACAGGAAGTAAATTCAAAAGGAAACAGCAGAAGAAGACAGGAAGTAAACAAAAAGAGATCAGCTAAAGAACACATAAAGGAAGTAAACATTAAAAGGGAACAGCATAGGAAGACAGACAGGAAGTAAACACTAACAGAAACAAATTAGCCTGACTTATAGCATATTATGATTTTACCTTACATGTTTTAATAAACTGAGTCTTTCAAAAGGCTCAAATATCTCTTTTCAAATTTCCGAGTGCCGATGAACCTCACCCGAGCCACGTCTATCCACCGCTCCAGCAACCGCGCTCTCTGGTTGGGCTTCAGCACGGGGTTGCTCAGGCAGGTGGTGATGACACAGTTGGTGACGGAGTTGAACTGGGCCACAGTGGCTCTGATGGTGGGGGCCAGGTGCTCCTTGCCTTTCTTGTCCCGCTGAGACCAGATCCCCCCCAGACAGTGGTAGGAAACCACCTTCTTAAACAGGTCCTGGACATAGAGTGGATTGGATTATTAGTCAGAATGTAACAGTAGTTGCTTGAGATGAAATGATAACATGAAAATGTATAATGTGGCTCTGGAGAAAATCTGGGCAACATTGGAGAGGATTTCTAAAAGATGTAGCAAAGGGACGCCTTACAAAAAGAACCGGAGCCCAGTCTTCTTCGGGCCGGCTCTGTTGTAATCAACAGCCAAACTACCCAAAAGAAGTGGGAGTGTAACATAGTGATGTCATTACGTTACAGAAGTAAACACAGGAGTCCAATGCAGGTGTTTCATGCAGGGGGGGGGGGGTTGGATTTTAGCCTTTGCAGGCCATTTACATACAGCATGGGTGTCCACCTACGGCCCGGGGGCCAAATGCGGCCTGCAGACTATTTTGAATAGCCCTCAGCAATTTCTAAAAGTATAATGACTTAAGTATAATAAACTTCTGCTTGTCTTATATTGTATGTCTTGAATATATATGTTAAAATATATTACACAGTATTCATGTGTTATTAAGCCCAATTTTCAAATAAATTCAGTCAATTAAAGTTGAAAACATGTTATAACAGATATAAGTTGATAAGAAAAAAGCCCAATAACAAATTTAGATTTTTCCAATTTATAACTGAGCTTATGAGGTAGTATACCCCTAGTGAGTGGCCCAGCCCTTCGTATATTTTTCTGTATGTGGCCCTCGGTGAAAAAAGATTGGACACCCCTGACATACAGGAAACGGAAATCCCCCAAAAACTTGACTACATCAGTTCATTGTCCCTACAAGGACTTAATAATACATGAAACAATCACCAGTTACAGAAAATACTTGACTGAAAAGCAACTGTAGAGGAAGATCTGTTGATAAGGGGAAGGGCAAGGTCCTCACCGCGTCCATGAGCGTGAACTGCTCTGCCACCATAATGGGGTCAAAGCACAGGAAGCTGAAAGCAGGAAGCTCATCCTCGAAGCCGCTCTCTTCCTGCGTAGCAAAAGGGCAGCCGATGTGTTCCCCTGAAGAGATACAAAATATTGGATTATTTTTCAACAACAGTGCCTCAACCTGAGCTCAACACAAACACAGTCCCTGGACTTCTTCTGCTTCTCATCATCTCTGTGACCTTCATGTTTGTTTTATCTCCGCAGGATGTGGACATTTCACTCAATTTCATGTGACTGCCAGGTGGTCCTTATCACTTTATTATTATTGTTCTTGTAACTTGTACAACCAAACTGTTCTTTACAGCAACAAGTATTACAGCATGTGAACTGACAAGGTGTCTACAGCTCCACGGAATGTTAAGCTGTCCATGAGGAACTGATTCATCTAAAAAAGAAAAAAACAACAGTGCATGCATACAGTGGTGTAATACAGTGAAATATAAGTATTCAAGTACTATACTTAAAGGTCCCATGTCATGCTTTTCCGGTTATTACCTGTCCCCTTGTGTGTTATGAAGGTTTTTATGCATGTAAACGGTCTGCAGAGTCAAAACCCTCAAAGTACACCCTGTAGCAAGTAAAACTCTAACACAGAAAATACCTCCCCAAAACACCTCGTTGGAGATACGTCACTGTCCATTGATTCTTCCGGGTAACTCATGATGTCATGCGTTACCCGAAACCAAATGGACCAATCCGTGGAGCCGTTATGTTACGTCCACGGAGCCGTTACGTTAAGCCCCCGCTGATTGGTCCAAATTGACCAATCCACGGACTTCCTCATACACACACTCAGTGCATGCAGCTCTGCTGATCTCTCTTCCCTGGCTGCAGGCTGATAACAGACAGTTGGGATTGCGGCGAAATTCTCTCTGCAGACCCATTCTCACAGCGTTTATCAACCTTTTTCTTACTCAATATCAAGCCACACTTATTGTTTTTACTTCGGCTGTGACTTTGTGTGTGCTTCTAGGGATGAGTTTGGCTGTTTGGTCGC